GTTATGTGGTAGTTACCACTTTCCAGTTATTGATTTGTGCACACCTATGACACTCAACCTTTTGCAAGCTATGGACCATGCTTATTGCTGAAAATACAGTACATGTGTAAAAAAAATCATAGATATCTACATATTTAAATATACAGTATATATACATGTATACAGAATGATAGATAGTTATCTGGTTAAGTCAGTGTTGTGGCTCTAATTTTGGGCAATTTCAAATTACACAAGAACCTGAGGGGACAACTCTTTTATAATAGGGATTCAGATGCAAATACAGGTACTGATAATGATTTGGGAAAAATGAATAACTATAGTTGTTGATTCAGACAGTGAGAAGGTGTACAAGTAGAAAACTATGATAAAGAGTTTGAAAAAGACAGTTTTGTGAGCTTTGTTCCTTGGAAATTTGGGAAGATTTACCCTGAGAAAGAAATACTGTGTAGAAACCCATGATAGGTATGCATACATAGTAAGAGTTCTAATAGTTGGAACACCAGTGTAACAATTATATTCATAGGAAGAAGGATGAACAATCAACACCACTAGGCCAAATATGAAGATATTGATGATATTAATAAGATACACTTGATCAGTGGACCAATAGTATTGTCAGGCACACTTTTACAATTAGGGGGGACTGATAAAGCTTTTGCTGACTTTAAAATGCATATGAAACACAGTATGATGGAACCATTTTTCTAGCACTTATAAAAAGGAGCAGTAGGTTCCTTTTTTTTTTAACTAGCTATCCCATATACAAATTCACATTATTTTTCAAAGGAGGAAAAATAGGTAACTAAATGTCTGAAAGGTGTGTAATTGTATTTTAACTGAACTTAGTTCATTCAGAGATCAAGTAGATTCAACTAGGAAGTGGAAGTTTGTTTATTTACCATATTAAAAAGTGTCCCAGGTCAACTCATTTTCCTTGACTGAATCCCCCCCTTCTTTTTTTTTGGGGGGGGGGGGGGAATAAATAAATAAATAAATAAAATGAATAGATAGTCTTTTACACCTGCACATGACCTGGTCAAATATCCCTCCATACTCATCTTGAATATAAACTGCTTCACTCTTATGGTTTAGAGTACAGAACCAAACAAGGAAATTGTTTCTGTTCACCCCACTCAACGCTAATGCTTATTCATGAGTATTATGAATTTATTCACTGTAGGTACCCCTAGAACTGGAGTATGATGTACGCCAGTACTGGAACAACAAAAAGAAAATGAAGCACCAGTTATCAAAGGTCAGTGATGTAACTGTATTATCAAGTTTAATGTTAGATTCATAGCATTAACATTTATTTTCTGGAAAGTATATTAAAAAATTGTTGACTTATTTAAGATGTACTTAAATATTGGTGTAGCTTAAGGCACAGTTCAACTGGTCTTCTCTTCATCTTGGACCTGAATTGTGTCCGAGTGCCCAGCTAGGTTTAGTGTTTCAGCTGCGTAAAGCACCATTGTAATAGACCGATGTGCCACACGCTTAGATAACACCGTGCATAGTACTTCTCGTTTGAGTAACATGGAGCACAAGGACTTATACCCTGTTTAACCATAGTTTCATGTTTCATGCTGTATATTTTTTTGAAGAAAGAAGCACAGAAGCAGATTTACAGATTCAAGATTATTATCGCTAATCTAACAGACCGTCGATGCGAGTGTAAATCCTGTTTCAAATTAGCCATTTCATGTTTATTTGTTTTTGGTAATTAAAAAATATATATATATTCTTACCTCTAAATATTTTATATCAAATCTTTAATATAGCTTTTTTTGACTTTATAGATGTCGATAATTTCTTTAAGCAAATTACAGACAGTAATTTTGAGTTGCACCCTGAAAAGGCCGGAGATAACCAAGGAAAAACATGCTCTCCGTTGTGTTATCACTGGCTCCCCTCAGCCCTCAGATTTTGCACCAAAGTCACAAAATTCGGCCTAGATACCCGTGCTTACAGCCCTTTATAATGTACAGGGCTCCTTTTTCTTGCAAATGAATGTTGTAATGGAATTTGTATTTCCTTTTGTAAGGAGCTTTAGTATAGTCCACTACACTACCAGTAAATCTTAGAAAAAGCGCTGGTGTGTCATGATTTAGTGAATGGTGTGAATATGCATGGAACTAAGGAAGGATTTTTAGGACAAAGGCAAGGTCCAGGAACCTTGGTGCCTGTCAAGTAATTTTCCTATTTTGACTTAATTGAGCAAAAACCAATGGGTTCTTATTTGTAAAGTACCCAAAACCATATGGAGTCATCCCTTTTATTGTGTAACTACCATAGTGTTATGGCATGAATTAAGTAATGTTGCCTTAACCTTGTCTTGAAGTATTAGAAAATGTATTTTATGCTGAGATATTTAAATCCCTATTTTGTCTTTATAATGTTCTTAGCAGATTTTTTATTTTTATCTTCTTCTTTATCTTCTTATATATATATATATATATATATATATATATATATATATATATATATATATGTATGTATGTATGTATGTATACATATATATGTATATACATATACTCGAGGGAGTAATTTTTTGTATGCTATATATTGTGTGCATCTGTATAGAAGTTTATGAATACAGCCTTGAGAAATCTCATGACCTTCTTCTCTATAGCGGTCAATGATGGATGCCCCAACCAACACCATATTCACTTTCATCGACCGTGAACTGACTGCACAGGCCAATGACAAAGATGTTACTGAGGTGGCTCTTGCTGAGCTCTATGCCTATGTGCAGTCCCTTCCAGACTCTGCCAAAAAGCGTAGATTAATCAAGCAATTTAACCATGCAAGTGGTTCAGGCACTCCACAGTTAAACCAAAGTTTTCTAAAGAGGCAAGAGGCTCGTGGGAAGCGGCTGGGAGACTCCATAAAGGTAGGTTTGGATTCCTCTACAGTGATCTGCAGTCTTGCTTTAGCACTGATACCACTGCCTTTTAAAGTTAGAGCACCTGTGATTGGTATTAAGTGCACTTTGTTACCAGTTTTGATATGGGTTAATGATTTATTGGTTTGAAGAAAATAAGGTTATATTTAGTATTTAGCTATAGATACATGTGTGGCTATGTGTGTGATATATTGTGATTTTGATGAAATTAAAAGGGGCTGGTATCTTTGAGATGATTGCAAATGCTAGTGCCATTAGATTAATTTAGGTTTTGTATGTCTTACTTAAAGTAACTTGCTTTCTTTGATGTGTTAAAATATTTAGACATGACATTAGATGTGATTTTTATTTCGAATGAAAATGTATGTACTGTTCTCTTTCCAGATTTCTTTCTTTCATATTTATTTATTCAGTTATTAATTTTATGCAGTGATCTTAAATGGATTGTTACCTCAAAAATAGTTCTAAATCAAATTGGCCATACATCTAGTTATAGAGAGAGAAACATAGCAATATATATTGATATACTGTAGATATTTAGGTTGATGGATTGATTGATAGATGCATATGAGTATTTAATCCAAAATGATACTGTTTACACAGAACACCCTGGCACAGGCATTATGATTTTTAGATACACAAATGATTATGGTAAGGAAGAAAGTTAATTTTTTCCATCATTGCACAGTTTCACAGAATTTGTTTGTTTTGCACTGCCAGTATCTCTCTTTTTAGAGAGAGATAAAGATATTGATATTTACATGCTGTAGTCATATAAGTTGGTGGGTAGGTGGATAGAGATACATAAGTATTTCATGTAATGCAGAGTGAGGTGAGTGAGTGTGTGTGAGTTAAGTGAGTGTGTGTGAGTTAAGTGAGTGTGTGTGTGTGAGTTAAGTGAGTGTGTGTGTGTGAGTTGAGTGAGTGAGTGTGTGTGTGTGTGAGTTGAGTGAGTGTGTGTGTGTGTGTGTGTGTGTGAGTTGAGTGAGTGTGTGTGTGTGTGTGAGTTGAGTGAGTGTGTGTGTGTGTGTGTGAGTTGAGTGAGTGTGTGTGTGTGAGATGAGTGAGTGTGTGTGTGAGTTGAGTGAGTGAGTGTGTGTGTGTGAGTTGAGTGAGTGTGCGTTTTTATCTCTGCAAATGGAACTCTTCCATTCATAATTTTCCTGCAGTTTATGTAGGCCCCTATTACTTTTGTTGCAACCAATTTGTAGTTTATAAGAGAAAATTGATGAATATACTGGCAGAAGGCTTGATGAAGATCAGAAGGAACATATATATATATATATATATATATATATATATATATATATATATATATATATATATATATATATAACATTAGTTAAAAGATTTTACTTTGTGAAGTCAGCTGAGATTTATATTCTTAGTTATATCTGCATCTTTATAAAAGTTAAATGAGAATCCATATTTTGTCTTTTATCACATATATACAGATAAAACTTTCTTAAAAGCAGTTGAATAGTGATAGATCTGAAAGATGAAAAATGTTGAATTAACAGTGACAGTGATGGATTTACATATATAAATGTATAAAGGGTTTTTTGCTTACATTTTATGTGATTTGCTCATTTGGATATTTCTCCCCCGTTCAAAAACATCATATATGAAATGACCACTAAAAGCATGAGTGCGTTTATGTCAGCTTATCTGTGTGTTATGCCTTTCCTTTTGACCCTTTTGTCTTTATCTTCTTAACATTGATTGCCGTCTAATGCTAAAAAGCACTAAAGGTAAGACTGAACAACCTCATGAATGTAGTTTCATGTGTAGTCCTTTTGATTATGTTGCTTAATATTTTAGACTTTCTGGCAGTATTTTAAATCATTTTGAAGTATGGAGAGGGTGTGAAGATTTTTATTTCACATGGATATCAACTGAAGAGAATATGAAATGTATTCAAATTGAATACCAAGACTGATCTGAAACATAAGGAACTTCATGAGGTTGTACAGTAATACACTTCTAATTCATATGGTGAATTCTGCTCTCCATTTCTGCTGAAACAACGTCTTGCTAACATGTTCCAGAAACATCTTTTCCACAAGAATGTCAAAAATACCAAGAATAAGTCCCAGCCATTTTCCTCGGTTGGCTCTGTGAGAGTTAAACGAACCAACAGCGAAGACTTGCTTAGTGTGAGTTTAAATTAGCCTTGATTGTTCTAGCTTGGAAGTGATAAATATTTCCTTCAGAAATTTCACAAAATGGATCTGGTAGATATATGAAAATATTTTATAAAGAAAAGGACAGGAAAATTGATAAACAATAGGATTTTTGCATGCTTTACAACTGCAGTGCTGTGTCCCAAGATTAATAGTTTGCATGTAAATTACAGAGCCCCTCCACCAGATCCCCAGAGCTGCGTATGTTCCGTCGCAATGCCGACACTGGCACACCAGATCGGTTAAGAGCCAAGTCCTTAGATGATTTGTCCTCACCCAGTAATGAATACCTCTCGTCTGGGAAGAACCAAATGATCATTCACCCTGCCTTCCTTACTAAAACCCATCGTTTGGGCTCTAAAAAACCCTTATCCATTTCCCTACGAGGGGACTTTATCAAGGAGCGACACTATTCTGCCTCCTCAGACCAAGATTCAGCCAGTGAGCCCCTCTCTCCCCTTCCCCTTGCATCTTTTTCCTTTGAGTCAAGCTACGATAACCTAGAAGGAACGCGAGAGGCAGACCAGTCTTCCATGGATAACACAATGGAAGCGTTCTCTCAGTCCAACCTGATCTTCCCCCCTGGTGTTTATGATGAAACAAAAGAGAATGCTCCCCCCTGGGACAGCATGCTTGCATCTACCCCAGCTGCTGCAAAGCTGGAGGTTCACTCTCCCATCTCGCAGGCTATGTTGCAAGCCAGTATCCCTCAGGTACTCCTCAACTTTTGCTTAACCATGGTTTTGTTTTGTTTTGCTTGCTTGTTTTATGGCCTGCCTAGCTAATTATTCATATTAACTGACTAAAATACACTTGCTTACATATGAATATTTGTCTAAAATACACTTGCTTACATATGAATATTTGTCTACACATTTCTCTTCCTTGACAGAGCTGTTAAACATGATCTACATGTGATATGCATTTAACCCAATGGCCATGGATGGCAAAAATACTTGTAATGCCAACTCTAGTGTTAGTTTATTTTGTTTGTACAGAGATAGCTCCACAAGTGCTTAGTCACCAAAATTACTTATTAACCTAATTAGCCTGTTTACCCGTTTCCTTAATTTTCAGGAAGAATCTTTTCTTCTATGAATTTATAAATTTTATGGTATTGTATTAATCATGTCAACAGTGAAATATTAAGTGTTCATTTCAATTGCATTAGGGTGGGAGGAACCTGCAAATTCAAGGAGTGTGGAATTCAGGGTCAGTCCCTATGGCCTAATAGTTGGCTCCTAGGTGGTTGAACCCTTGTGGAGCCATGTGATAAAAAATACAGCAAAGTGTGTATGAACCTTAAGCCAATGGGTTAATGTAACGTCCTTGTCTTTTCTAATAGGTACCCATCATAGACATAACACAAATTTCTGAAGACAGATCTTGAATGTGTGATTCATCTCATCTGTACACCTGTATTCTTACACATATACCTACACAAACATTCATGCACATACATATCCATGCAGCTTTTCCTGCATTCACTTCCCCGCGTGAGTGTGTCACACACGTGTGCACACACACACACACACTCACTCACTCACAAACTCCCACTCATGCACACACACACTCACTCACATGTGGAATTTATGACGAACCGATTGCAACAGGAACAACAAAGGGAAGAACAAGAAAACACATGAATATGCCCTCCATTATTTTTCTACCCATAGCAAGAGGACTAAAGAAGGTGTGGTCATTGGCTTCTCCCTCCAAGCCCTCAGAATATGCAGCCCTGAGTTCTTGGAGGAAGAAATGCAACACATCTGCATCACTTTCCTACACCTCCATTATCCTCGCTCCATGCTCACCCACCTCCAACAAAAGGCCAAGAAGATCATGAGCAGACCGAGAGGTGAAGACATACAGAACAAGATTCAGAGAATAATCATCCCTCACTCGGAATTGACTGAACACCTGGAGGCCCTAGTGGGCCACACTTTAAAGATAGCTACATCTTCAGGCAAGAAGATCAGAGATATCGTAAGAGAAAAGATGTCAAACCACAACAGACCCCCTCAGCCAGGTGTACAGCATACCCTGTGTTGGGTGTGATAAAGTTTACACAGTTGACGAACAGTGAATCATTCAACACTGCAGCGTTCTCTGACGCCACGACATGAGAAGCGCTTTCGTTCATGTAGACACCAACGGTCACTCCCTGAAGTTGTCCCAGGCCTCTATCATAAAGCAAGGCCTAGCCCCACATCAAAGGAAGATGGTAGAAGCAGAATTCATTCATACAACAAACAACATCAACACCACTACAGGGAGCCACAAACTATCCAAGGTCGTCACTCACCTGATTACCGACGTAACCTGACCGCCTAATATTTGTATAAATACTCCTCTATATACCTTTTGTCATGTATGCCCTGAGGAAGCATTAGCGAAAAGGCATATTCATGTGTTTTCCTGTTCTTCCCTTCGTTGTTCCTGTCACTCACTCACTCACTAAGACTCTCACACTCACACTCACACTCTCACTCACACTCTCACATTCACAGTCACACACTCTCACTCAGACTCACAGTCTCTCACTCTTTCTCACATGCCCTCACTCTCACTCGCTCTCAGTCTCACTCACACTTACACTCTCTCATACACACACTCTCACTCACACTCACATGCACACACTCACACTCACACACACACACACACACACTCACACACACACCACACACACACACTCACACACACACACTCACACCACACACCACACAACACACACACACACACACTCACACACACACACACACACACACACACACACACACACACACACACACACACACACACACACACACACACACACACACACACACACACACACACACACACCACCTGTTGTTTGTATTTTTGTCAGATAAAATCTATTTTGTCTTTGTAGCTTTTTATGTTGTCAGATTGTCATATGAATGTTCACATTTAAAGCTCTCATGATAGAATATCATTCAATCCCATTAAGATTCACTTAACCATGATACAATGTATTTCTTTCAGAAAGTGATGATGACTCCTCGTAGCCGCTGCCCTATTATTATCAATTCCACAACCAGTTTATCAAATGTGCCTATTCCTGAAGAAAAAGACAGCCAAAATACACCGGTAGCAGATGTTTTGAGGACGAAAGAAAATGTGGTTGAGGATGAAACAAGCCACAATTCACCAGTCATCATCAATCCTACTGCCAAACTCAGTTCTCCAGTGCGACCCACCAAACCCCTTGCAGACTCGACCAACCTGAGCATAAATACCACTGACAGCGAAATGAATGATCCAGAGTACAACAAAGGTAAGGCCATCACAAACAGGAAAAAGAGAGATTCAGAAGGTTCTTGTGAAAATGAAGGGGAAACCAAGCTCAAGCGATGGGGATCATCAACCCTGCGAAGAACATTAAGCTCGGCCAGTTCCACAGGTTCCCTCTTTGGCAGCTTCTTTAGGCACTTAAGTACGTCTTCCTTAGCCCAGTTGGCCTCTCGACTCAGCTCAACAACCTCTCTCACCAATCCTGAGGTTCAGGAAGAAGAGAAATCTGATGAATCGGAAACTGAGGAAGATGGTGAAATGAATGAGTCGTTATCCAGTGTATTTAAAGATTATCTCCTCAGTAGAAGTATCCTGACTGATAACCCTGTTGATTTGTCAACTGACTGTTTAGAGAAAGGAATTGAAGAAGAGGACAAAGTAGAAATTCAAGAGATTCCACAGACAACCGATTCTAATGAAGAAAATAGTGATGATAATCTAGTTGACTCCGCCTATGGTGAATCACAGCCCCCAAGTAAGAGTGTTTCACGTCAGTGCTCTAAAGCTTCTCTAGGCTCTGCTGACTCAGCCCTGGATCTTTGTTCAAACAAAGAACTCTCTGAGTCTTTGTTATTCTGTTTGGATGGGAATAATCCACTTTCTCCAGCTACAGCAGTGATTGATAAGAGTAAAGAACAATTACAGACCACAAATGAAGGTATATTCACACCAGATAGAGATACATCAGCAGAAGAACAAGTGGAAAGACTTCATTCTTGCTCACCTGAGAGCAGGCGGCAGTCTATTCTAAAAACAAAGCAAGGCACCCCTGTTCCACAGTGGGACAAAGTACACACAGACTCGGGAGGAAGTGCAAGAGGGGTCCTTTTTGAAACCTCCTTTTAAGACAATACTCCATTCAAGTATATGGATTAAAGTAATATCCTGGAGTCATCCTCAGTGAAATTAATATTTTTCTGGTTATTATTTTATCACAAGGTAATATATTTGACACAAGTAATGAAATGGAACACACAATTAGATATCCATTCAGAGGATTACTTGTCCAGACAGTATTACATAACTGATATATTTTTAATGGATAAAGGTTCAAATTGTTTTATAGACCTTTTCCTTTTTAGAGTAATTCCAACAGTTTTCTTCAACAAATTGAACCCAAGTGAATCATACTTGTTATTACTATATTAAGAATCTCAGAGTTTGTACAAATGCAATGGAGATATGCCATTCTTCATAGTTTGTTATGAAGAGAAATGTTTAAAGACATTCGTAACTTTAATTTACCATGTACATACAAGATTTTTTAAAATGTATTTGCTGATAAATTATTAGTCCAAAGATAAACATACCTCCTGGAATTTCTATCAACACTTTTTTTTATACTGTTCAGTTGCCCTTAATATACTCATTTGTTAATATTTTCATTTCTTCTTGTATCTGTTTAGAGTAAGTAAAGTGTCTTCTGCCAAAGATGTGATAGACCCAACCATTACATTTGTTACTGTTTTACATTAGGTCATATTTTTTCTTAGTAAACTGTCCGTGTAAGAGGATTTTTCATAGTTTTATAATAAGACAGAAGAATAAACTTAGTGTAATACTGAAGCCAACCTGTGTTTTAGTGTCAGATTGCTTTGCTAAGCACTTCATTATCCTTTTCTGTGATTATAGTTTTTTTTGTCGAGAGAGAACTGATGAAGCCAAAGAAAAAAAGGAGGGAAATTGAATAAAGTTCCTGAAAAAAAAGGTGAAATTTTAGTAATTTCGGAAATAACTTTGGCATATTGATAGAGAAATATGAAGCAAGGAAGAAAGCATAGAATGGTGTATTTTTTTAATGGACAATAGCTTCACATTTAATGTTGTATACAGAGATGGGCAGTATCACTAAACATATCAATCAATACTTTTGCATTAGTATCGGTATCGCCTTAGCTGCTTAATAACAATATTGTTATATGTGCTTCATTAAGCTGTTTTTCTCAGACTGCAACCAAAGAAATTGATACTTGGATATATTTACACAAGCAATTTGAAACCAAAGTTGATATACATAAATAGAAAAATTAGCCATCTCCTCTTTATTTCAATTTTTATTTGTGATTATTATTTGCTGCTCTCTCTCTCTCTCTCTCTCTCTCTCTCTCTCTCTCTCTCTCTCTCTCTTCTCTCTCTCTCTCTCTCTCCTCTCTCTCTCTCTCTCTCTCTCTCTCTCTCTCCTCTCTCTCCTCTCTCTCTCTCTCTCTCTCTCTCTCTCTCTCTCTCTCTCTCTCTTCTCTTCTCTCTCTCTCTCTCTCTCTCTCTCTCTCTCCTCTCTCTCTCTCTTCCCCTCTCTCTCTCTCTCTCTCTCTCTCACTTCCCCCTCTCTCTCTCTCCTCTCTCACTCCCCCTCTCTCTCTCTCTCTCTCTCTTCTCCTCTCTCTCTCTCTCACTTCCCCTCTCTCTCTCTCTCTCTCTCTCTCTCTCTTCCCCCTCTCTCTCTCTCTTCTCACTTCCCCC